AAGGAGGGAGTGGGTGGAGCAATCGGTGTGTCTGAGTGTTGGGCTACTTCGCGCACACCATTTAGTTGGCGCAAACAAATTACATGCTACATCAGGATGCAAGACTGACAGTACGCTATGGAGAAGTGCTCGCAGACTGGTGAAGGACCGACACATTCACGAGACCATTGCCGTGATGAGTCGGCCCAACCGCATCTTGCCGCACCACATCCGGTCGCACATCTGGGTACAATTCTCCACCAAGAAATGACGACCGATGTCAGTGACCAACTAATAAGACTTGTGAGCTGACACTTACTTGAATTTTGATCAACACTGCCAAGCTGTTGCCACTAGGCGTGCGACTAATTGTCACACTACTGCCAAGCAAATCGAGTACGCTTCATTGTGTGACATTTGTCGGTTGTGGGCAATTTCTACCCAATGCCGATAGACGCTCCACCACACTTTGGACCTCCCGATCATGTGCGGTTGCACTAATCTAAACATGCTACTATTAAGCGAAAGACAACATTACTCAATGCTTTAATTACGCTTGCATAGGAGATGTCAAGTGATTGTCAAGCTCAAGCCCCACACAGTGTGCTCTGTCCCAGCAGGACCAACAAATTGTCCCCAACTTGCTACCAACTCAAGTAATGCAAAGGTGAGCCGACTTGACAGGGCTTCCACTGACACACCACAATGCAGTCTGATGCAATGTGTCATGAAGGTGATCTTCGTCAGCCTAATAGGATTTGTTCACAATGCTGCACGTGTTTGCTCACACCAGTCATCCTCAATGCAAATCAAAGGCATTTCCAATGACTTTGGTGGAGAAACTGACTTTCTCCTAATTAGCCTTGACTTCTCAAAGTGAGAGAAACATTTACGCTGACTAGCAGGTGGTCTGCAATACTTCTGCCACTCTCACAGGCAAGTCGCTTACTCACTTGGTTGTACCAGCGATGCATGTGATTGGCAGAGGCGGGTGTGCCTGCAGACACATCCGTTGTGGGGATGTCGTTATCAGCTTAATTTATCGCCTAAGGAAGATGGTCAATATTTGCCAACTTTGGCAGGTCCGTCCCAACAATTAAAGCGTTATCCATTTGGCGATGTCAGCAGATGATGATCAGTTCAATGGACGATGATTGATGCATTGTTGAAGACCTTTGGTACTCCGAGGACGCCCAAATTTTATGCCTACTCATGCTCTTCACACAACTCATTCCCGCATTGCCGCAATGGGATTGTGCTATTGCTTTATAAGTGCCAGTTAGAGGCTTTAAATACCAAAGGAATGACGGCCCCGCTTTGTACTCTGCGGCTACTTTTACCGTTCATTTAAAGCCTACTTACTTATTTCATACATTACCCGCCCATTAGGAAGTACACAATTAAGCAAGTCAGATAGGTAGTCGTCCAACTGGAAATTCAGTCCGGTTCCGGGCATAAACACATCCGTTTCACGGCTAGAATCTGAAGATATTGCTTAGTGTAAATGACCAGGGTAGGTATACTCTATTTCCCATATTGAAGCAATGGGGCACAAAGAACATGAGACTCAACGGAATGGCAGCCAATCCTCTCTTCTTATTTGCCACTGACTGCATTGCCTGTTAAGTCAACGGCGTCA